CATGTTCTTGGATAGGTAGGATCAACCAACAGCCAACATCAAACTAAATGGAGAGAAAATCAATGAGATTCCTCTAAAATCAGGAAAAAGACAACTGTCCACTCTCTCCATATATCTTCAATATTACACCTGAAATTCTGGCTAGAGCAATAAGAAAACAAAAAGAGATCAAGGGAATATAAATTGGAGAGGAAGACTCACACTTTCACTATTTGTAGACAATATTATTGTTTACATAAGTGACCTGAAAAACTCTACTAGGGAATTCAAGAACTCTGTTCACTGGATGCGAACAACAATCCCCATCAAAATACTGGCACAATTCTTCACAGACATTAAAAGAACAATTCTCAACTTTATTTGAAAAAACAAAAGAACTGGAATATCCAAAACAACCCTGTACAATAATAAAGGAACATCCGGAGGTATCAACATCCCTGACTTCAACCTCTATTATACAACTATAGTCCCCAAAACAGCTTGATATTGGCAATAAATAGACAGGTAAATCAATGGATTCAAATTGAAAACCCTGATATTAACCCAAACACCTATGAACACCTGGTATTTCACAAAGAAGCTAAAATTATACAATGGAAGACAGAAAGCATCTTTAAGAAATAGTGCTGACATAACTGAATGTTGGCATGTAGAAGACTGCAGATAGATCCATATTTATAGCCATGCACAAAACTTAAGTCCAAAGGGATCAAAGACCTCAACATAAATCCAGCCATACTGAACCTCTTAGAAGACAAAATAAGAAGTACCCTTGAATGAATTGGCACAGGAGACTGCTTCCTGAACATTACACCAGTAGCACAGACATGGAGTTTGACAATTAATAAATGGGACCTCCTGAAACTGAGAAGCTTCTGTAAGGCAAAGGACACAGTCAACAAAACAAAATGGCAGCCTGCAGAATGGGAAAAGATATTCACCAACCCCATATCACACAGAGGGCTGATTTCCAAAATATACAAATAACTCAAGAAGCTACTCATCAAAACACCAAGTAATCCAATTAAAAAATGGGGTACAGAACTAAATAGAGAATTCTCAATAGAGGAAACTAAAATGGCTGAAAGACATCCTTAGCCATCAGGAAAATGCAAATGAAAACAACTCTGAGATGTAGGGAGACACCATAACCACGCCTCTTAAGGGCAGGCTACAGGTGTGCCTGACCACGCCTGTCAGGGTGTGGTAAAGGTGAGGTCAGGATGATGCATGATGGGTTTTTAAGGAGCAGCAGGGCACATGGGTGCCTCCTTGCCTTGCTGCTCCTGGCATGCTCTGGCTTGCGTTTGGCTGGTGTTTTTCTAATAAAGGATATCTTTATCCCAAGCTCCTTTTATTTCTTAATATTGAGATACCATCTTGCTCCTGTTAGAATGGCTAAAGTAAAAAACACCAAGGACAGTCTATGCTGGAGAGGATGTGGGGAAAGGGGAACACTCCTCCACTGGTGGTGGGAGTGCCTACTTGTACAGCCACTTTGGAAATCAGTATGGAGATTCCTCAGGAAAATAGGAATCAGTCTACCACAAGATCCAGCAATTCCACTCTTAGGCATATACCCAAAAGAAGCACATTCATGCAACGACATCTGTTCAACTATGTTCATCGCAGCATTATTTGTAATAGCCAGAACCTGGAAACAACCTAGATGCCCCTCAACTGAAGAATGGATAGAAAAAATGTGGTATGTTTACAGAGTGAAGTACTATTCAGCAGAACAAAAAAAAGGAAAGGAAGAAAGAAAAAAAGAAAGAAAGAAAGAAAGAAAGAAAGAAAGAAAGAAAGAAAGAAAGAAACCAATAAATCTTGAAATCTGCAGGCAAATAGATGGAACTAGAAGAAACCATTCTGAGTGAGGTAACCCAGTCACAAAAAGACAAACATGGTATGTACTCACTCATATGTGGATTTTAGACACAGAATAAGAGATTACCAGCTTACCATCAACACAACCAGAGAAGCTAGGAAACAAGGAGGACCCTAAGGGAGACATACATGGTCCCCTGGAGAAGGGGAAAGGGACAAGATCTCCTGAGCAAATTGGGACCATGGGGGGAGGGGAGAGGGAACTAGGTGAATGAGTAGGGGAGGAGAGGAGGGGTGAGGAGGACATGATAGGGCTGGGAGATTGAGTTGGGGGAAGAACAGAAGAGAGCAAGATAAGAGATAAT